GCATTGCAAGCGCACACACTGATGTGGTGTACTTTGTGATCAGTACTGAAGCAGTAGTTAGATATGCCGGCTAAGATTGCGATCGGCGGCAGCATTGAGAGCGGCCATTCATCGGAGGGAAGAGAGGGAGGACAGAGAAGGATGCGCCTAATGATTGCTGCAATACACACACACACACACACACACACACACACTGCCACAAACACAGTGTTGCTAATTGTGTGTTGCGGATGTTTCGGAGACCGAAGAAAGATCGGCTAGAGCTTCTCAGAGAGCGACCAAGAAAGAAAAGCCTTCTAGAGAGGGCGACATTGTGCAGTGGGTAAAAGGGAGCACAAAGCGAACTTTGGGGAAGAATAAAAGAGAGTGATGAGAGGAGCGAAAGAGGAAGATGTGGCCGAGGCAGTAAAGTATAGGCTGCAGTGAACAAGTTCAAAATCATAAACGTCAGAAACATGTGTCGTTATTCATCACAGCGAGAATGGCCATTAGAGCACAATTAGACTGCAAACTGCCTACTTCTTAGTACCCCGAGACTGACACCACTGAAGTGAGTTAATGCTACTCGCTGCCAAATTTGGAATAACTCTCTGACGTAGAGAAAACTCACTGCACTGCAGAACTGACAGCTTCAGTAGGCCTCTTTACTTTTGTAGTATACAAAAGCAAAATGAACAGTTCAGCCTTTCATCATTGACCAAGGTCGACGGTGGGGGATGTATACAATCGGCCGGCAAACGGCTTCCTTTGTGCAGGCGGATGCGATCGGATCATAAGGCTAGTTGGTGCTATTTTTCCAACTGAAGACGATCCTGCGAACTGGTTCCTGCAGCAGCAGCAGTGTTCAATAGACGTTCATCGAAGTAATGGGAAATCGATAGTCGATCCCTACAGCAGACCACCGCACAACAGGCGGGCTCAATTTGGAGCTGATCAGCCTTCCTAGCTGATAGCAAGTTCAGTGTGGTCTTTTTTCACTTTCGGCTAGTCTATTTCAGTGTTGGCACAACATTAGCACAGTGTGCGGCACAACAACAAACAGTTACCATTGGTCAGAGCAGTCTCTCCTTCAGAGGCCATTTGCCCCAAGTACTGGTACATCAAATGATCATGGGCACATCGTGTCACCATGCACCAGCAGAAGAAGAGAAATGTCAGCAGACTGCTGCATGCTGTGCCAGTGTTGTAGGGGTAAGGTCCGAAAGAAACAGCCTCGCCACTGACCTCCCATTGCCCTGGTACCAATTGCTGCACATCGTGCCTCATCTCAGTTAATAGGCGGTAATTGATAGTGCATTACCAGCCAAAAAGGGAATCTCGGGTTCTTCATCTCCTTGGCGTCTCAGTGAAAGCATCACCGAGAGAGAGAGAGAGAGAGAGAGAGAGAGAGAGAGAGAGTTCCACTGGCGGCTATAATCACGCCATTACCCAGAAAGGAAGGCACAATTTGAGCACCAATTTGTGAGCCCCCTCGCTGATGGCCAGTCTTCTATTTTCGGTGCCCTGCAAACAGTAAGAACCTAGTAATTTGGCACTGTGCCAAAAATGTTCAGTGGAAAAGAGATATATTCTCATTTGATGACCTAATTACAAGGTGCCACTCACCCCTAGTCAGTCCGGTGGACGCTTGCTCACAGTATTCAGTATAGAATAAACAGAGTTTCAAAGTTCCTCAAAACTTGCTGAGTGGAATCCCAAATCTGTTTGTAAATAACGTACAATATTTAATTTTAAAGTGATACAGGAATCCAATAAAAAAGTATCGTTAGTGAACAGTAGTCAACTAAAAATAGAGCAATTTGTTGTTTGACAAAGATTTTCACCGGGTGTCTTCTAAAGATGTTGCTGCAAATACTGCAGCAGCGTGGCTTCATAGTGTTCAGAGCTGTATAGCTTTCGAAGGCTGTGTCGTTCAAATGGAAAGACCTATTAAGAAAACACTGGTTAGAAACATGTGTACTAAAAGTATGTAAACAAAAGGCAAAACTTACGTTCAAGTGGTAAGGTTTGCCTTGTGAAACTAAAGAGTTTATCAGATGAGCGGTGTGAGAAAAATGAACATTTTCATCCATTAGGCCATGAATAATCAAAAGTCGATTGTACCTGCGACAACAGTGAGGTTAGATGCTGCACACGCACAGCTAACAACAACTAAAAAGTCACTCACTCGTTAGGAAAGTTTTTGCTGTAGGAGAGTACATTGCTCAGTCGATAGCCCTCTTCGTTCTCCTCAGGCAGTCCCATGTACCGTTCAGTGTAGCCGGTGTCGTAGAGCAGCCAATTAGTGACCGGTGCACCGGCAATAGCACACTTGAAGATGTCAGGCCTTTGGGCTAGCGCCATCAGAGACAGGTACCCGCCATAAGACCAGCCGTGAATTGCCACTCTGCTCATGTCCATGAAACCGGTGTTCTCTGCCAGCCATTCCAGGGCTTCCACTTGATCGAGAATCTCCACTTGACCTAAGCGCTTGTAAATGTGCCGCTCAAACTCAACGCCACGGTACTTTGACCCTCTAGAGTCGAATCCAACAACGACGTAGCCCTCTGAGGCGATCAAGTGTCTGCGATGTTGGCGGATATCTAAATGAACAGAGAACAGATATACATGAAAGAAGAAATGCATACTTTTGCCTTGGTAGGCGGACATTTCATCGCGAGCCATTTCATCGCAACTTTATCGTTAGTTAAAGTAATATAGCGGGGGTCTAGCGGATCCCCTGCTAGCTGGCATGCGATGAAAAGGCTCGCAATGAAAAGGTTTGCGATGAAAAGACCTAGAATCTTTTGTCTTACCTCTAAATGACTTGTTGACGAGTTGAACCTCCGGACCACCGTAGATCTCCAGTAAAACGGGGTACTTGGCACCAGGCTCCATAAAGTCCGGCTTAAAGAGAAACCCGTACACCAGTTCACCACTTTTCAGCTTGTACTCAAACAGTTGGGGAGTGAGACCTAGGTATTGCACTTTATCCTGATACTGGTACTCAATCGGCTCATCCAACGAGACATCTTCAGAGAGTCCAAGAAAATAGAAGAGTGGCTCTAGATTGACCGAATGAGAAGCATGTTCAGGCGAGACGACCTCGTGGAAGAGTCCAAAGGGAGGCATTGTCAGGTTTGATTGAAAGTCTATGCAAAAGCGAAACTCTGGGTCAAAGAAGACTCGACTGTGGGTGAAATCCTCTTTGGTGAGTCTTCGAGGCTGCACGCGAGGCGAATTAGATGAGGAGACTACGTAGAGATGAGTTTCCAGGGGACTGTCTTTATTGCCGAGAAAGTAGACTAAATCTTTTTGCTCGTCCACCCAAAATAGTGATTCATAAACCTCCCAGTTTCCGTTAGTAATTTGGTGATTGCTGATCAGCAAAGACTTCAATGCTGTCGGTTGAATATTGCGTTTTGCCTCGTCGAAAAAAGCTTCGTCAAAGTTGTTCAGTTTAGCTGACTCTAAATCGGGTTCTCCTATGTCATTGTCTTCAGCTGGCTCCGAGAGTGGTGCAATGTTTCCCACAATTTTAACTGAAATCTTGTACAAGTGCCGAAATCCGGAATCCTCTGACGCCCAGAGGAACTGAACTACACTGTCTGGCTTAATGTGGTAGCACTCTAGTGACTTTTCATCATTTTGAGCGAAAAAGTATAGAATATCATGGCAGTTGTACCAGTGATTTTCGCGAGATTCTTCATGAATAATTTGTGGCGGAAAGTAAAAATTGACTGAAACAAGCACAATCACAAGTTTGTTTTGCTGGCGGTTCAACAATTCAGCCCACACTGTGTCCCAGGACTGCCAGCCACAACGAACCAAATATTCAAACTCGGGAAATAAGTCCCCAAAGTTAACAGGAAGTTCTTTGACGACAATTTTGTCGCGATTGTTGTTGTTTGCCTTTGACAGTGTTTTCAGGTCATTCAGCTGAAAGTTGATTAACTTTAAAGAGGATTTGGCATTTGAACAACCTGTAATTACAAAAGTGAATTAGGTCACATATTAAATGGCAATCCATAAACACTTTACCAGCTTTAGGAAAACGATGAAATTCACTTGTGCCGTCCCAGCTAGAAATAGAGCACACGTCCACTTCTGATTCGTCAACAAACTCACACAAAATGGTGTAGTTTTGGCCATCTGAAAATGGAAATTCAAGTAAAAATGGCAAGAAAACGCTCAATCGTTATACGCACCAGTGTCGGTTGGCGATGTCGGGCCCCACCAGAATCCATTAAAACGAGAAAATTCCTCCTGCATTACAAAAGATGGTCTTCCAGCCATAATGCCAGTTTTGGCGTAATCAGTCGTCGTGAGACGCATCTCTTTGCAAGACACCAGATCACACACCCACAGGTCACTGTCGGCAACGTAAGCGACCACGTCCGGGTTGTGTGGACAAATGGTGGCATTCATCTTCACGTGAGTGTTTGTCATTAGCTTGTGTGGGATATACGGAGGCGGTGCGGACAGCTTTTCGCTCATTCGCAGAAATGATCTTGGCACATTGAGATCGGTAAGATTTTCATCACCAGAGTTGCTTTCAGTCGTACAACTAGTGTCACCGGTTGGTTGGCTGGCAATTTCTAAATCGTCAAACCAGTAGATCATGTTCTTAATCGTAAAAACAAACCGAGCCGCACCAGGATGAAAATCATAAGAAATAACACCGTTGTAGAGAATTCGCTTTCGCTGTAAAATCAAGTCTTCTTCGTGTGAGCTAGTTGAAGACTTATTGGAAGACCGGTCACTTTTTCCACTTTGAATAAATTCAGTGTTGTCGTCGTTTGAAGCAAAATAAGCTCTGTTCATCATAATGAGAGGTTTCCAGCTCAATGTAGGAAAATTCGTCATCGATGAGGTAGGTGAAGCAACGGTTTTTCGGTAAAGTGACGGGTCATGCGAGTAGGAGCCACTTGAAGGTGATGAAGATAAGGAAGGAAGGGAAGACGATTTTGAGCTGTAAAGATGACAAAGGTTATTTTAACTTTTTTTTACATTTATCGAATAATACCTCATATTATGATCCATATCATAATAATTTCTGTATTCATCACTTTCATTGCCAATGTCGACACTCTCGTAGTCATTTTCTCCAGTTTGCATTGCTTCTTCAGACGCTTGAATATCACTGCGCATCTTATTCATAATGTCCTCTTCAATTTCAAAAATAGTTCCGTTGCTTCTATCAAGACCATTAATTTGTTTCACTAGTGGAGCATCACAGTAAAATAGGGTAGTTTCCGAAGAGTTTTGAGACGACAAAAAGTATATTCGTAGCTTTTCGTTGTTGTGATTGTAGCGAAAGTTAAAGTTGAACGGCAAAGATGGGCAGACATCATTAAAACGCTTGCGAGAATCACGAACCGATGTGCAGATTTCATTCCACGTCTTAATATTCTTTCGAATGGGGAAATCTGTACAAAAAAGTAAAATATCAATTATTAAAACAAAAGTGTACAATACTTTTGAAAATAGGTCATACTCATAATTTCACTAAATGAAGGAATATTAATATTGGATATAGACGGAATAGAAGGCATCGAAATGTTGGGCATCGATAAGTTCGGCATTGAAGGCATAGACAGACTGGGTATGGATGGCATAGTTAAGGAGATGTTTGGCATAGCAGGCATGGAAGGCATAGAAACAGAAGGCAACTGTGGCAAGTAATCAGGTAGCGAAGACATGTTAGGGATGTTGAGATTTGGGAACACTTGAGCAATTTGAGGCATCTGAAGGGCATTTCTAAACGAGGAACTAATGTTCGTCGATGAAGCGGAATTAAAGTGCTTAACAGCATCACTGTTGGCTACAACGTTGGGAGATTTAACGATGTTTGTTTTAGAGAAACCTTTGCTCGTTTCCGCGTAGCTGACTGAACTCTTAGATCGAGATCGCGTGAAGGCATGATGCGCAGAGACTGAAGTGGTGGTACTGATGATAGAGCTCAGTGCAGGCGAGGCGGCCTTTGAGGGTGCCGTGGTCGTTGTCTCCGAGGTAGATGACTGCTTCAAAATGCCCAGTGGCAACTTGGCCGCCTGCCTGTTGCTTGACAGTTGGGGACTCGACTGTTGTTCACTCAGCAGATGATCTGACCGATTGTCAGTGGAGGTGGTGCTGTCAACACCACTGCTGAGGCACTTCTCGTTGGCTATCTTGTTCTTCATCATTATTATCTACCGTTGGCTTCCTCCGTACACTATTAATCACCACTACTGAAAGGTAGACTGCTTCTTAATTGGTCTTGATAAAAGGCGTCAATCTCAGGTGATGGAGGTAGTGTGTGTGTGTTTTTACTGTACGGCAGAAGGAGGATAGCTGAGTTGGAGCTCACATCAGTTCTTTTTGCGCACCAATATTTTGGCCAAGTAATCTGTGCAATCCTGGCAGATGATGTGCGCCAGAAAAGAGTATCCCGCTTGTATCAGCCGGAGAAAGTCTCCTCCACTGAACAAGTGGCTGACTCGAAGTAGGCCAGCAGAGAGAGGCGATAATGCGTCGGCTTTTGAGATCTGATAGCGGAGCAATCAAGGGAGATGATGGTGTGAAAAACAACAATAACAAATTAGCAAACAACAAAAAACAGCAGAGATCACATGCGACGGAGGCGGCCGACTTTACCTCGGCCGATATAGTCAGCGGCTGAATCCACTCCGGCTGCCAGCAGATTGTACAAAAGAAGCGGATTTTTGAACTTTTATGAAACTCACTAAATTGAATCGTTTGCTCAACTCTTCCCTTTTCACTAAACTTGATCTGCGCTAGAATCTTCTATAACCTTTAACTCAGACTGCCAAGGTGGTTGCCACTATCAGCGCCGATACCCGTACGCTCTGTCTGGTCATTACTGTGTGCCGAAAAAGAGAATTTGACATGAATTATTGATGGCAATGAACAGGCAGACAGTGATCAAAGTGTTTTGAGCTNCTTCTATAACCTTTAACTCAGACTGCCAAGGTGGTTGCCACCATCAGCGCCGATACCCGTACGCTCTGTCTGGTCATTACTGTGTGCCGAAAAAGAGAATTTGACATGAATTATTGATGGCAATGAACAGGCAGACAGTGATCAAAGTGTTTTGAGCTAATGAACAGGCGCATTTGGTTTGTTGTTGTCGTTCACACCTTGTCACTGCAGTTTTTTGAAGTGCGTAGCAAATTATAGTGAAAATCGTACACAGTACTTGTCTTTGTCGATCACTGACCGAGGACATCGCTCTGACATGAGCGATTTTAGTGATTTGAAAGCCGAATCTGCTAGTTGATAGTTTTTTTTGTGAAGCTGCCAAAATTGTCCTATTGATTCCTGAAACATAAATCAATACTAAAGAGTAGTGCCAAAACGACAACTCCATCGATTGACTTCAACAGCGTTGGCCGGCAGATTTTACGACAATCGTGGACAAAAATATTTTTTATTGCAAATATATTCAGAGTTACACATTGTGTAGTATAGTTTTTTGTACGAACTGATGATGGAGACAACTGACGTGCATCTAATGAGAAATGGTGCAGTTTGGTTTGGTTCGGTTCAATTGTTTGCCACCGTATGCGGCAGTTGAATGGTGATCTTCTGCTGAGTCGTCTTCCGCTGCAACTTTGGCCTCGAGTCGACCGACACGGTTGCAGCGGCTACATTGGCGGCTGCAATTGCACTACCGGCAGCCATCTCCACATCGTAGATTTGCACAGTTTTTGATTGTCGTCGGCTAGTGTTGCGTTTGTGGCTGCCGCTGCGATTCAAAGCACGCTGCCTCGCCTCTTCCTGTTCCCTGGCCTTCAGTCGTCGGGCGTAGGTGAGGGCGATGATTCCCGGGCCGACGATTAGGCCCAGTGTAGAGGCAAAGACAATGAGGCCAAACTGGCGGTAGATGACGAGGAGGAAGAGCGAGAGGAAGGCAAGCGACACCGAAGAGAGGAGGAGGCGAGCTCGGTGGGCCACCAAGTAGGCGCACAGATCCAGCGTCGGTCTCTTCAACGAGTTGGAAGACTCGTCCAGTGCTGACTGGTGCTGGTGGTGATGGTTCATGGCCGTGGGGCGCTCAAAGGCGCCCGATCTGCCCAGACAGGACGGACTGGTGCTTCGGGGCAGGTCACCTGCCGGCCACTCACTCGGACAGATGGAGTCTTCGCTTTCTCGTCCGTCTGACTTGTACATTTCATCATTATACTGGTTCACCACCAAACTGGCGGGCAAATTTCGCATTTTACGACAAAGGCTTCTTGCACACTGAACAGGAAAACTCCTTGTGTCCCATGACAACTCGGACAGTGTTCACCGCCAGCACATTGTGTCACTGGAGGAAGAGTCGCAGACACACACTGGCTCACTCACTTTAAAATGGCGGTATCTCTGTCGTGATTTGCCGATTACACACGTCCCAGTGGGCGTTGTGTTTGTGTTTGTTGTTGTGGTTGTTGGTTGTTGGTAGGACCGAAAGACAAGGAGAACAGGTGAGCCTCACCGGTGGCGAGAATTCGCAAGCAGAAGTGACTGTCAGGGAAGTGGTGCACACTCGACGTGATGGAATGAAGCTGTCTCTTCGAAATGCTTTTCCCTCACAGCAATGTCACACCGATGAGAATTGGTCCTCTCTTTTATTGGGTTGCTAGAGGACAGGTGTGTGTATGTAGTGAGTTAGTGGGAAGGACAGAAATGAGATACTGTCTGGAAACTGGTCCTGCACCACTGTCCGCCCAGAAAAAAAGAGAAAGGACAGTAATTCCGGCAATCAATTTAATTAGTAATGCAATCAGAAGAGACGACCCTATTTGGAGATAGTATAAAGCTTCGCAGAATACTGCTCTTTTCGTGCTATGCCCACTTGCTTGAAGAACACAGTTTAAATTTATTGCCGACAATTACTGGCTACTGAAGACCGGTGGAACTGCTGGTGCTGGTGTGATAGCACCTGCAGACATACTGCGGTGTTTCAAAAGTTGAAGAGAAGGATAACAGGCGGCCAATTAAAGTAGAGAACACGTAGGTAAAAAGATGAGAGTGACAGACAGAAAGGTATATTCTTTCGAAAATAAAAAACGAAAATGAAAATATGAAGGTTGTCGATTCGATTGGATCGATGAGTGTGTGTGTGTGAATGCGACACCAGACAGACCGCAGACTGTCAATGGCACACCCACTTTGCTGCGGCAGACTTTGAGCACAATCACCGACTGATTAGCTGGCTGGCAAACTGATTCCTTAGCAGCCGTTTAGAATGGTCGACGAATGAGTCAGTGTACTACTGCTAACTGAACTGTTTTGCTTGTCTTACTCGACGACGACAACGACGACGACGAAGTTGACGAGAATAGAGCCAATTTGTCTGCCACACCGTACCAATAATATGCTCGAAAATACTTTGTGTGCTTAGCTAGGTACTGCCAACCACTGCCAAAAACGGTTTTCTAGCGGGGCCTCGCCTTTTGCGTTCTCTGCGAGCTCACTGACACTACCGCTGACACTGACTGCTGTGCTGGTGTTCCCAGGGATGGCTGTTGTTGAGCAACACTACTCACACTTCACCTGAGTTCAGTTGCAGTTGCAGTTGCACAGTCAGAGCACAGTCAGTGCTGTACAGCCGGTGCAGTCCTTAGTCCCCGAGTGTTGGCCAAGTGCGGCCACTGCTAATAAAGGCTTGACATGCAATGGCCGCAGTAGCGGAGGAAGACAACTCAGAGTACTCCTCTCTGCCTACTGAACAATGCAAATTATAGCTCTTTTGCTCTATTCTTTCTGTTTTCTTTTTTTCAGTGTCCGCCTGGGCGTGTGATTCAGCAAAGTCAGTTTAGCCTAGCCTAACCAACAAGCAATCGGCTCCTACTCGAGGCAACTTGCACCGAAATTTCGCTCACCGTACTAAACTGTACGACAACACTTTTTCGATCGCTAATCGGTCACATGAGGAGACGACCACAGTAACCATTGCCGCTGCACTTGTATTAACCCAAACCCAAAGAATGGAAGTGACCAGAAAAAAATGTATAAAAGAATCTCCATTTCAATCGATGCCGCAATTCTATTGATCTTGCACATACTTTCTGCTACTGCCCTTTTCGATTCTTCATTCATGGCATGTTTTGGCCGTACCGATTTGCAGGGTTTGTCGTGAGGTGAATATGCTTTCAATGCAGCTACTTTCTCTAAAATCGAATTAATAATAATATGAGAATAAAGCTGCAGTGAGAATATTCTTCGAAGAAGGAAGTGCTACAGTGCCTAATGTGACGTCTTTCGTGCCGCCATCGCCTGGTCTGCGAGTGAAGCAACCCGCTAAGTCACCAGCGAATTGACACGTTATGTCTGCTCTAATTGCCCAGTACAGTCAGGACACTGTGGTGCATGCAAACACCATTTACAACACACAAAAATCTCCTCCCCACTCTTTGCCGCCCTTTGAATTAAAAGTTGCCGGCGAGTGGACAAAAACAAAAAACAGCTAGCAGTTGACGGTTTGGAGATCTACAAGAGTGATCAAAAGGAAAGG